TTATTAAAATATAACTTTAAATGATTTTATCAATAAAATCATTATAAAAGAACCTTAAGATAATATGAATTTAAGTGCTCTTTTGGTGAGCATGGCTCAGCCATTTTCAGTTCTTTCCGCCAACAAAATATCAAGATAAATCTCTTTTTCTGAAAAGGTCTGTAGCTTGTGCAGTAGCACTAAAATATGACTGAACTCTCCAGTATTAGAAAGTTACTGATACATTTTAGCACAGCAAGCAGCAAGATATTCTTAATCAATGATAGTTTAAGCAGGGAGGTATGCAGTTCCCATTAATAGATTTATCAGAAATTACACAGACTAGAAATTGCTTCTCAGACTCAATAAGCAACTAGTACTTGCATATACTGATTTTACAGTAAACTGTAGGCCATAATAGTTAGTCTAATTGGTTTTAGTTAGCATTGTAAAACAGTATTTTCAAGCATCTCATAGTATTTCTCCTGTTCCATGCTGGAATTCTTTGCAAGAAATAATGCTTTGCTTGCTTACTTGACAGTGGACAATAAATTGACTGATATAATTCAGTCAGGGAGTTGAAAAATGCACCAAAAATAATGGGGCATAACATGCTAGGGTTAACATTTATTCATAGATGATGCAATTAAATAAAATGGGCATTAACTTCAAGGTCAGTCACTAAAGTAATAAAACTGAATATTTTAATTGAATCATAATTGCTTCCCATAGATACATGCAAGTCAAATAAAATAGATGTCAGCATTGCAAATTATGATTCTTCCTCCTAATTAATTTCCTAATTCTGCATGGAGTTTTCAAAGGTCTGGTCCTTGTTGTGGGTTTATCCACTCATCCAGGTTATCTTCCCCCCCTCTCAGCCCCAGTTGATTCCACCTAAAGAAAAATGCAGTGTGATTGATTTTTATTCTATTAGAAATTTTATATAATTCTTTCTTTGCTTTGTTTACATAGGTATGATATTTCATTACAGCAAAATACATAGAGAAAAATAATAATTAAGCAAAGTTCTGTCTTTTTTCATCATTAAAACTGTGAGCACTGGTATCTCAATAACTGGGCAGAATTGACAAAATAACAATTAAGTCTGAGTAATGATTGTTTAGTGGACACAATGAATATCCCACAAGAGAGTTATATTTTTTGCAGCCTATTCTGTAGCCAGCTATGAGCTTGGTACATATTTCTGTTGGTAAAGAAAAATAAAAATACACAATAGTTCTGGTTTAAAATTAACCTTACAGGGTGGTGGAGAAAGAAAGTTGAAAGGATGCCTTTGAAGTATATCAGAGAGCTAGAAAAGGCATAGAAAGGGGAAGCTAAAATTATCAAGGGCTTTTGCTACAAGGAAAAGCTGAAATGGTTAGGGCATTTTTGTCCAGAAAAACAGATGACTAAGGGGGAACAATAGAAGCTTATAAAGTGTGAATTGAGAGACTAATTTTCATAATATTACAGCATGGGTCACACAATAACTTGAGTTTGTAGAACACAATAATCCATCCTGGGAATAAACCAGAATGGGTTGGTTGTTCTGCGAAGTACCATGTTGAGCCCGGTAGATGCTTGGGTTCCTTATGAGTGCTTCTCTTTCTCCCTCTTCCAGAGTGGAATGAATCTCCTCTTTCTGACAATGATTAGAAGTTGATTTTGTCTTCTTATGCTGTATCTTCAGTTTTTGTCCCTGAGATAAGGAAAGCTGACTGTGCAGCCAGTTTTTGCTATCCCCTTAGGAGCAGGCACAAGCTGTCTCTTCAGACTGCCTCGTGGCTTGGTGAGGCTGCTTCTTTCTGTCCTTTATTTGTTACTAATAGCTGAGGCCAAAAATTCCTTCTCCCCAATATTGCTTTTAATTATAAGCTCATGCAAGGTGAGCTGCCCTTTGAAAACAAAGGCATGAGGGAATGTTTGCTGAGAAGCGTATATATTTCACAAATGCCCTCTATTGGACAAGGACCTTCTCTTTTTATTCATTCTGTCTTTTGTTCTCCATGGAGGAGTAACTTTTCTCCTTGCTCTGGACCCTCTTTGGCTTCTAGAATGGTCAAACTGCTCCCCTCCCCCATGTTTTTAAGGAAAAAAGTTCATTCTGTTGATTGGCTGTCTAACAATGATTTATACCCTTTATTTATTTATTTATTTATTTATTTTTCGATTTATATCCTGCCTTTTTCCTACGAAGGGCTCAAGGCAGCTTACATCTCCTCCATCCTATCCCCACAACAACAACACTGTGAGGTCGGTTGGGCTGAGAGTCTGTGATTGACCCAAAGTCACCCAGTTGGCTCCATGGCTGAGCGGGGACTCGAACCCAGGTCATCTGAGTCCCAGTCCCATGCTCTTAACCACTACACCACACTGGCTCTCATTACAGAAGAAGATGCACTTTGCAAGGAAATAAATCTTAGGTAATAGAGAAGGTCCAGGATTGGAAAACTCTGACCTATCAAATGTTGGACTCCAGCTCCCACTGACTCCAGTCAGCAGGGCCAGTGGACTAAGACAATGAGAGTTGTAGTCCAGCAACATCTTGAGCGTCACAGGTTCCTCACCTATGCAAATCTTACCTACCTGAGAGTAAATCCTATTGAACTCAGTGAGGCTTACTTCTGATTAGACCTATATAGGATACACTATAACTAATATAAAATTCAAAAACTGCCTAAGGGATATAGCTCTTGGAGTTATGGCAGTTTCCAGTGGAGCTACTCCAGCATCAGTAGTTTGTTGCACTCAAAATAGCACCCTGGGTGAGTGTAAACTCTTGTTTCCATGTTGGAAAAGAGCTTAACAACACCTTTCTGCAAGATTGGCTCAGCTGCTCCAGAAATAAGCATTTGTTCCACATTATTCTTGGATGAATGCTTCATTGTGCAAGTAGTCACTCAGGCAAGTACAGGGATGCAATAGGATACTACACTTACTCTCTTTTTAATGCAGTGCTAAACTGAATGTGATAGTAAATATATGAACGGAACCAATGCACATGTTTTTCTTACATGAATAAGCAGTTAAAATTGCTATAAACTTTTTATGGGAAACTTATATTGGTGCCAGCAGAAGTGACCGTTTGCAATTATGATTGCAAGGAGTTTCTGAAGTGTGACCTTTGAGCTGTGACAGTGAGCATGAGAGAGAATAGGACTTCCAGTTCCAGAGCTACTGTGGCTTCCATGTAGTCACTGTCTGTACGGCAAAAGCACACTTGTGAATTGTATTCATGCAATAATTGCTCATCTAGTTTTTCCCCCCTAAGACAAATCCTGGAAAGAACTTCTATTTGAGACCTTGGGGAACTACTGTTAGTGGGTTTGATAGGCCAGTAATTGAAATATATGGCAGCTTATTGATTTCTAAAGGTCTGCAGATTCAGAAGTCAATCCTGTAGCTTGACATAACAGAAGAGAAGAAGATCCTGTAGGTTAACTCCATTGTCTCTTTCTCCATATTTTTATCCTGCTTGTCAGATAGGCTCTTGTAGTTTCTTACATACAATCATGAAAGAAGATTGTCCCTGTCTGCAGGTTTACAGTCTAAAAATATGATATATACAAGGAAGAAGGAATCAGGAAAGAGGAGGAAAATGCCTGAAACAATAATGACTACCACTACAAGCTGTTCAGTACCCAGTTCAAAAATATAGTAATGCCCTTTATATCTTCACTACAGTTTTCAGTTACATAGTTATCCGATCTCATGGACTAATTCCTGATGATAGTTTACTGTTGTTCTCTGATTTGCGAGTTATATATGATTTGCCAGCTACAGCTGAATGGCAATATGTGCAGTTGAAACATCTACTAGAATCTAGGTTTAGCTCTGCGACTTTTACAGCTTTAGAGCCCTTTTTGGTATTGGAAGTACTGATTGAGGCTCTCCATCCACAATCCACATCAACAGATATCTGTTATTCTTGAACTGCTTTAGAGTCTAAAGCAAGAATGGAATAGCAAATTGGAGTGTCCTGTTTTTCACAGCCAATGGATTGCTTCATTGGCATCTGCTTCAGAACTGATAATGTTTAATTCAGCAAAGGCTGATGTTTGGGGTATATTGGATTCCACATCTTTTTAATAAGGGTTTATCTAAATTGGCAGCTGTTGGCAGTGTCATGCAGGTAATGCTTCTTTTGTTCACCTGTTGGGGCAATGCCCAATGACTGCCTATTTTTGGAAGAGGATAATAGATTTTGTGATGGAGTGTTCTTTAATATTTACGAACATTCATGTTCTTCTTAACTATCTACCTGTCTCTTGAAACTTAATGCAAGGTCAGCATAAATGGATTCTCTGTGCCCTTTTGACAGCTAAAAGATTAATATTACAACACTGGAAGGGCAAATGGTCACCTTTGATAACACAATGGGTAGAGGATTTGATGAAGCTTTTGATTTTTGAATAGATGGCCTTTAGGTATAAACCTCAGATGAATAAATAAACTGATATCTGGGCTGCCTTTCTGAAAGTCTATGCATAGTTATCCCCCATAACAATAGCCTATTTTGCTATACATAAAATGAAAAGGGGCACACAGTATATGTATGTTCCATGTAATAGATTGTCATGGAAGAAAACAGCAACTTTTTCCTTTCCTTTTCTTTCTCTGTTTTTAATTTTGTTGTTACTTTTGAAACTCACAATAAAAATCAATTAAAAAATCTCATGGACTATAGTTCCATTGTCTTAATAGGCACAGCCCATTTTCCATTTTTGCTGGATGACGTTTCTCTGAATAGAAAGCAGACAGTGAAACAAAGTGTGTTATTTTCCAGCTGGTGTGCAGGGCAAAGGAAATGAACTTACTTTTCCCAAGGATGGAAATCAGTTGTTCAAAGGGAATAAGAGAGTGCGTTCCGGCTAAGGACATCTGTTTTTGCCTGAACATTATTTTTGATATGCAGGGACTGTTTTCTAAAGGAGAAGGATTCTTTTTAAAAAAGTAATCTTCAACGCCCAAGTAGTACTTTGTAGTCTAAAATATATTTTAACATCTCTTGGCAGGTTTAGATCCAGTCAAACATCTAGGAAAAACATTGTGTGAAATGGAACCTTATCTTTTGGAAGTAAGTATTCTAAAAAGTATATTTGAAATGTTCTGTGCTTCAGAAAATAAGTTCTATGTGGAGGAAACTGCTGAATGAAAGTGCACCAACATTTACTTTGCGAAACAGAATTTAACATACTAGAAATACTAAAGCCCAGAATTTAATATACTACAAATACCAGTTTTCAGTAACATAGTACACAAAGTAAAATTGCTCCATTTGACAAATACCATCTTACTGCATTTTTGAGAAGAGTTGACTAAACATTTTTGGGTTGTGCATAGCATACACTCACTAAAATCATTGAGACTTATGTTAGTCTTGGTGAATTTTAAAGAAAAGGATATTTATCCTCAAAATATTGTTCTTATTTCTGATAATTAATCAGACATAAGAACAGGATTTCCCTGATTAAAGCTAAAGAAAGCTTCTTCCCTTGCCTAGTGATGCCAGTGTAGATTCCTGTTCTCAGCAGTGTTCCTAGTACACCTAGTACACCTGGTCTGAAGGAGCCTTGCAGGCAGCAGGTGAGGGTTGCATTCAGGATATGGAGTTGTGCATCTCTGCTTTTGGGCCATTTGTAGATTATACTTGAGAGTGCTTTTGGCCATTCTGCAGTAAATATCAGTAAATTATGCCTTTAAATAATGTAATTTCCTTGGTTTTGGAGTTAACTGACCTATGTGCAAGAGTGAAATTTAATTTGGAACTGAATTGAACACGTTTATTCAGTGCTCAGCCATTGTAGACCTAACTACTCTCCCCCTTTCTCATTCTGCACATATTTGAGGGAACTGTGGAGTCCCTTGAAAATTCCTTCCCAGACTTCATAACATGTCTGGTAACTCAAGTTAAGCTAAATTAGATAGGAATCTCTTTGCTTCAAGTTTATCACTTGGTTTAGCTAAAACCTAATCACCACTACCTTATTGAATTAAAGAGCAGCACAATTCTAACATGTTAAGAAGGAGAGCTCTAACTGGGCTACTGAGTTACAGCTCCGCTGCCTTCCCAGCATCTTTCTGCCCAACTCAATCTAGTGGGTTAACTATTTTGCAGAAATGTGGTTGAATGGACTAAGAATCATCCTAGATCAGAACCCACCAGTCAAATAAGCCAAATGGTTAATTGACAAGCACATGTAAGGTAGAAGTTCTGACAAAAAAAATAAATGGAGGAAATGGTAGGATGAACTTCTAATATTCTCCTATCAGATGTAATAAGCAAGTAAGTTGTATTGTAGTTCCTCTGCATGCCACATAAAATGAAAGGCAGTAGGAATGTGTTTAAAATCAAAAGTTATCCTTTACAGCCTCTTGGCTGAAAAGTCAGGTAGAAACTAAAGAATGTAGCCTCTGCTAATGCCAGCTGTTGGGACCCATGACAAAAGTACTGTTGTATGTCTGCATGAACTTTACCTGTGAAATTGCAGAGGCATAGACTGTTAGGAAAATGGACATGGATGGAAGAAAGGTCAGCTGATGGATTTTTGGCTATTTGAGAGGAAGGCATGTGTCTGGCTCAAATACACTTCTGCTACATATGTACAAATAACATGCATTTTCAGCCATATGACTTGTTGCATTCCAAACTTGTTGCACCAGGATGCCTGGCTTGTATATGTTCCTGCTTAGTGGAAAGCATCACTTGTTAAAGGATGCCATGAGCACAGCAATATGCATGCATATCTTTGCACTGGAGTCTTCATGCAGAGTTGCTGGTTGTAGTGGAAGTGGGGATTGTACTTCCGACATCCATTTTGAATACATCCATTTTGATCTACACATGACTGTATGGATCACTTCTCACAGAGAAGGCTTTGGCTCTAATCTAAAGTTTTGTGTATAGTTTAATATATATGTGGACCATCCATGTAAATACACCCTTTTTAGCTTCAGTGCCAGGCCAGCTGTGTGGATGGTAAAGTTCATAGGAGCTCAGTGTGCACTGATACTGATGCATGCCTAAATAATATTTGGATAGTATTGCAAAGAGTACTCTTATGAAATGTGAAGTTCACTTCCCAATAGTAGTCTAAAGGTGAGTTATATCCCACCTTTACTCATTTCCAGTTCAGATTTTGTTTGAACACAAACACAAAACAGTCTCACAACTTGTCTTCCTTCCTAATCATTTGGAGAAAAGGCATCTCTAGCTGTAGGGATTATTACAGTTATATCATAAGCTGAACCTCTTCAGTGAATGGCTGTACAGTTTCATCATCTGAGGTACTGATGGCCATATTATAACTCCTTCACTCTACTGATGCTATCTGAGCTTTGTTTATATAATCAGAATGATAAGAGAGATATCATAGGTAAACTGAGATCACGTGAGCTCTTAAAGTTGCCTACCCTTTTGCCAAGAGGAGGTAGTAGAAGTTAGACAATTGCTTCTTTTTTCAAATGATGCTGTTTAGCATATATTTTATCATAGTTGAACAATAAGCAATGTCATCTTCTAGATTTGGTTTCCTCAGCAGGGCTGAAGGCACTTCATAGAGTACTGTGGAGGCAAGATGCTTAGGAAATGCTCTTTCTTGTTGGTAGGGGTTTTGTGTTTTCTGTAAATGTCAGCATACATAAATATTTTACTAGATATTTAGCTAGCTTTATAACTTAGTGAAACTGAAGCATAAACACCAGCTGCAGAGAAAGTTGAGGCTATGCTTCTAAAAATATTTCCTTTGAATTCTGTCAGGGGGCGTTGTATGCGTATGTGGTAGAGAAAGAAAGTGCTGAAGAAAATGGGCCAATTTTGGAAAGGCTCTTTATTCATTTGCCATTTGTCAGCTCCAAAGTTTTACTTATACTATACTTATACTGAAGTTTTAGTCCTTTTTTAATAAAGATATTACAAGGCGGATAAATATTAAAATATATACTTCAATTATTTAGATTTTTTGCCAGCTTGATCCCAAGGAATAAGGGATGATAACACAAAATTTAGCCGTTCTGATCTAGAGTTAGAGATTTACTTTCATGTCTTCATAATCATAAAGCTAGACTAGTACAGTGCATTCTGTTTAGGGTCTACCTTTGTTTCTGAATGCAGCCATAATTGGGGAGGGTCCACAGTGGCAACTCACAACTTTGGCACATCAGGCTCCTAGAGAGAGTTGCACTTCTCTTAAAGGACAAGGTTCATAATCTGGGAGTGTTCCTGGACCCTGAGCTCTTCCTGGTATTCCAGATGGGCTCTGTTCCAGGAGTATTTTTACCAACTCCAGATGATTTACCAGCTATGCTCATATTTGGATCAGGATAGGCATGCCATGGTCATTGATGCACTGGTAATCTCCAGATTGGACTACTGTAATGCACTATACATGGGATTTCCCTTGGAGATAGTACAGATTCTTCAAATGATCCAGATCAGGGCAGCACAGTTGCTAATGAGGACCAGTTCTTACGAACATAGTACACCTGCCGTCTGTCATTTATACTAGCTGAATGCAGGGTTTTGACTATGACATTCAAAGTCCTAAACAGCTTGGGACCACAGTATCTTAGGGAGTGCCTTACTCAGTATATTCCTACCCATTGCCTGTGATCATCAGTTGAGGCCCCTCTCCCTAAGGAGGTTAAGGGGGAGAATGCAAGGAGAAGCTCCTTTTCTGTCGTGGTACCCTAGTTATGAAATGCTCTATCACTGGAGATTCACCAGGCACCTATTTTGTTGAGTTTCAGGAGCCTGGCAAAAACTTTTCTTTTCCAACACACCCATGGCACTTCTTTATATCAATGGCAGTGGTTTTAATATAGTAATTTATGTTTTATTTTTATTTAATTGTCTTTTTGTGATTTTATTCTGTTTAATTATCATGACCTTAATTGTATTATTTCACCACTGTTATATATTGATATTTTATTACAATGGCTGCTCAGAGAGCTTGATGCTAATTTGCAGCTTTCAAAGAAATCAAATAAACAAACAAAGAAGGCTTGTTCTCTCCAGATGATTTGGCCTACAGCCTTAGATAGCAGAGCCAGTGATGATGGATGGTGGGAGTTGTAGCCCCTCAGGTGTTTTGGCATACGAGTTGCTCATCTCTGTCCTAGCATCTCTTTTAAGCCTTGTAAGTTCTTTCTTATTCAGCATTGTCCACAGCATCTAGGTAGAGTAGCAAACCAAAAGGCTGCCCAGAAGAACAAAGAAAATATCAGAGCTCAGAAAGATACTGGCATTCAAGTAAGATTTAACCAAAACAGGAACCATTCCTTTGTAGTATTTTCCATCCAGGAGGATCTAAAGACTACCATGAGGGGATGGGGGTTCATTCAGTGCCTGAGGATGGTAGGCTAGGCCAATGCTGCAATCTAGTTCCATGGCTGACTGTATGGGGAAGGTGCGCATGAGGATGGTCAATAAACCACAGTGGCTTGTTAGCCATCATTGTGAATGCTGCTGCATTGCTGCCACCTGTGAACCCAACAGCCTCATTTTGTTCTAGGGTTGCTTAGTGGTTCCCAGCCACCTGCCATCACTTGGTTCTCATGTAATGACAAAGGGTGTCAGGGATAATTATAAAAATGGACTGGCAGACCCCTAACACATGTGGGCATGGTTAACAGACACAGTGACTTATTAAGCACCCTCATGTGTAAAAACTGGTTCAGATACAAGATTTCCAATTTGAACTCCCACTGTTGCTGGCATGGTGACTGCTTCTAGCACCCTAGGGAAAAAAACCCAAAGTTTTTAGGTTTATGTAATTACATATCTACATGTATATGCAGCTACATATATTTTGTAGCCATCATATATAGTGCAGTAGTTCTATACTTATTCTAGGTCAGAACAACTGTTAATGTATTAGTGATGTGAATTGGTCAATAGATTGACCTGGTATTAGATATTTTCTATGCTAGCTGAAGAATACCAATACCAACACAAAAATCAATGGCTGAAATAGAAATATGATGGCTGTGTATAGGTATCACAATAAACCAGGACAAGCAACCTGGTACCATCCAGATGTTTTACACTGCAACTCCCATAATTTCAAACATTGGTCA